GTTTTTATTTAGTAAGGTACTACAGTTAAATAGGATTTTTTATATTTGGACAAATTTATTAAAATTAAATTAAACTAATTATATTTTTTTTAAAGCTGAAAACTTTAAACAATAAACTATTTATTAGTAAAATATAAAAATTATTAAAATGGACAGAAAATGCAAATAATAATGAAAAATAAAAACACAAGGAAGACATTTTTGAAAGTTTAATCGAAAGTCGAAAAGAATTGCTTTTTTGAGCATCTATTTTAAATGAATACCTTTATTTTTTGCATTCTTTGTTATACAGTGTGTCCAATTAAGTTGAAACCATATGGGAAACTTTTTTTGTTTTTAGTTTTATAAAAAAAGTCCTTCGTTATAAAAAGTTCTGCATGGTCCAAAACTTAAAATGCCACCATCAGATATTATTTTTCTTTACGCCGTATACGAGGTTTGTCAAAAAATATGAATTTTGCTGAAGAGTAAAGTACTTTTATTTTTGACAAACTTTGTATACGACTAATAAAATTTGATATCGGATGTTGTGTTTTATATTTTAGGCCATGCTTGACTTTTTATGACGAATAACTTTTTTCTAATATTAATAATAAAAAAGTTTTTCATATTACGCCAACTTATGTAGATAGTTGGTGGCATATGAGAACTAGGAAAAAAAGTTAATCTTCATAAAAAGTCGAGCATGGTATAAACCTAAAATACAATCATCAGATATCAAATTTTATTAGTCATATACGAGGTTTCTCAAAAATTAAGATTCTTTACTCTTCAGCAAATTCATATTTTTTTGACAAACCACGTACCTATAAAGCTTCAAAAAAAAATTATATTTGATAGTTGCATTTTAAGTTTTGAACCATGAAGAACTTTTTTTAAAGAATGATTTTTTTTTTTTATAAAACTAAGAATAAAAAAATTTAATTTTCCATATGGTTTCGACTTAATTGGACACACAGTAAAAGTTGGGATATTTCACTTTTAATTAATTACATTTTATTTTTTTTTAAGGTTTTTAATTCTGAATATTTTTGAAAGAAATTCATGACTTACTTTCTTTTGTGTTGGTCTGTCCACACATTTTTTTTTTGTTTTTTTGTGGCATTACTTATATTTATATTGCTATTTGTGGATGGTTCTGGACTTAGCAGAATATTTTTTTATCATCTTTCCTTATTTCTTCTACGGTGTGGAACAGCCAAATGGAATAAATTCGGTAATAAATAAATAGGGGCGTGTTCTAAAAAATGCTCGGACACATCGATTGGTATTTTTAGTTGCGCATTTTTTTTTACAAAAACTTTTTATGGAAGGTGTGTCATGTAACACTGGCCAATACCAAACTTCTTATTTTAAATGCAACACCCTGTATATTTTTAAATTTTAGGATTCTTCAGAAAATTCAAGACATACTTAATGTACTATAATATCCTATACCTAACTGTTTCGGAAATATTAAAACCTAGCTGACTTTGGAAGACGAAATAACGCTTGCGATTAAATCGGTCACTCTTGAGATATTGAGTAACATTAGAAGACATTTTTTAATTTCTGATTAGGATGTTGTCAAGAGGTTCGCGGCTAGCATTTCTCCTAGATTGAGATGTTTTTTTTTTTTATACATTTTCAAGAAATAAACAGCATTACTTATTAGTTTTTGAGCGTGCTGTAACGAATTTCTGTAATCAAATAAATTTATTTTAATAATTTTAATTTTTGCAATAAATTGGAAAACATTTAATATTTCCGAAACAGGTATGGAACATAGTATATAAAATTTGTCTAGAATTTTCTAAAGAATCCAAAAATTGCAAAATATACAGGGTGTTGCATTTAAAATAGGAAAGTTGGTATTGGTCACTGTTACATGATACACCCTGTATAAAAAGTTTTTGTTAAAAAAATGCGCAACTAAATATACCATTCGACGTGTCCGAGCATTTTTCGGAACAGGCTCTCATTTATTTATTACCGAATTTTTTCCATTTGGCTGTTTCGCAGTATATATCTTCTACTTCCAGTTTCTTGTCATTTTCAAGTAAATATTTTTCTATCTCAACCATTACTGAGGCCCTTCCTATGGGGCCTCAGTATTAAATTCGTGCAGACGAAAAAAATTTCTTACCATTTTTTTATACATTTTTACGTTTCCAAACATAGAGTCCGAAAATGCAAAAAAAAACATTTTTCGTCTGGTCGTCTGCGCGTATGTATGCCAACACGATAGCTCTAGAACGAAAGTTCTGATTGACTTACGGTTTGATTTTATTAAATAATTGCTTCTAATTTAGAACCCGATTGATTCCTAACGTCTAACATTCCTAAGATTCCTAATATTCCATACATTGCAAATATTCTCCAACGACCTGTCAAACAACAGCTGCTGATTGTAAAGGTGAGATTTCTAAGGGGGGTTGCGCCTTCCCTAGTTGCCACCCTACTCCTTATTTAAAATTATAAAAATAATAGTAGTTGGGTGTCTAAAATATGAACTGTGATTGGTTGATTTAATTTTTTTTGCAGTGTTATCACTACCTAGAATGGATATGAAATATATTCGTTCAGTTAAACGCAATGACATACTTTTTCGTTTTGTAGTCTGTGCGTAGATAAGCTAATATCCATGAGGGTGTAGAAAATAGTAGTTTGTGCAACAAGAGTGAATATGGCCAATACACTTGAGTTGTACAGTATATTTTTTCTACGACCAACTAACGAAAATCGAAAAATAAAAAATCGACAAATCGAAAATCGAAAAATCAAAAAATCGAAAATCGAAAAAAATAGGCAATGAATGGTGACATTTCACATTTGGCATTACGTTTAACAACAATAAAATCTGTAAATTGTGTTTCATTTTTTAAATAATTGAACGCCCTAATTAAAAAGAGCTCAGAAATGTTGAGGGTAAAATTTTGACGTATCCCTTTAAGGATAACGGATGAAAACGGGTGCTTGTCGGGCTAATAAGATGTATTTCATGAAAATTAGTGATATACAAGACCTTGGATCAACTTTTTTAGTAAGCATCAGACAATAAAAGTCTATTTAATTAAGGTTTTTCTTCTTATATTACAATAAGGTATTTATTTCTTAAAGTCTTTAATAATGGGCATAATGAAAGCTTGTCCTACTAATGAAATGCATTGCATGAAAATTAGTGATTTACAAGATTAATTAGCTTTTTTTAGTAAATTTTTCCAAAACCAAGACAAAAACAACTTGAAAATTTTTAATTACCAAAAAGTTTTAAAAAATATGTAAAAAATACATCAGTAGTCGTCCAACATTACTATTGTTTAACTATCAGAATGATAAATGCACTGCCCAACCCAAATAATTGGTATTAATAATTTATTAAAATAAAAAAAGATGTTGCCGCTTTTTTAAAACCATTTTAAATTTTTATACGTAGGTAGGCTTAAGCGACAATGGGCGCAAATATTTTTACATGAACAGATCTAAGGGAGTAATGGGATCATATAATTTTACATAGACATATTTAAAAGGGACCGAATATTTTAAAAAAAATAGGCGAAGTAAGGAGCCCAAATATTTTACATGAGCAGGCTTAAGAGGTAAAGGGGCCAATTATTATTGGATAAATTGCTCGAACAAGTTTGTAAATCCTAATCAAAAGGCGATATAGAATGGTTTTAAAAATTAAGACTTATTATCACATGGTTTTACCTAAGTAATGTCAATGCTTCACAAACCAAAAAATTAACGTTTTAATACTACTCTCGGCTTTTGGTCTTTCGTTTCAAGTTATATCTTTCTTGATTTTTTTACGCTACTCTTGTGGTCCTCAGTCTTGATAAGGTGGGAGTCACCATTTTAGCGTCTCTCGAATTATTTATTTTAAAGATTTTCCTGTAAAATTTGCAATGCATAACACAACAACGCGCGACGTCTCCTCTTTAACAGAAAAACTAAACTGAACTAAGAACTAGCTGGCTTTCCTAATATTTATTTACCATTCTACCACCATTTTCGTAAATAAAATAGTACGTAGTTAAAATGTAGGTAATAATGTAACTGTTGTTTCTTTATACTTTATAATATAATGTATTTTATAACTTTTTAACGTCATATTATTTAAGGCAATATATAAATAAAAAAAAGATGCCAAATTGTCTATTAAGCTTTTTAGATGTCAAAATGTTGGTAAATTCTAATAGTATATTACATACATACTTATAAATGATGACGTCCAAATGATAGTAAATAACCTTAAAAAATCATTACTTATATATATTTTTGTACTATTAATCTTTAAATAATTTCTTGAACCTTTCATTAAAATTATTATGTATATTGAGTTCAAATTGATTGTACATTTGGCATATGTGTATATATGCAAGACGTGTCGCCAAAATGATGGTATTTATAATTTCTGAAAACTGGCAACGTTGCATGTTGCCAATATGTTTCCACATTGAACGATTTTTCGTACTGTTGCCAAAATTCACCTCAGAGTGAAATATACAAATATACATAAAGTATGTGATAGGAAAATTTCAACAACAGCTCCGGGCTCCAAAAAAATCGCTGAACTTATATACACGGTTAGTTTTTTAAAAAACCTACTCCTTCTAGGTGACGCCAGATTACTGTTTTATGAAAAGACGTCGAAATGATAGAATGATGTAAATATATATATATATATATATATATATATATATATATATATATATATATATATATATATATATATATATATATATATATATATACATCATCCTATCGTTTTGGCATCCATTTATTATTAAATTCCCAACATTGTAGCATCTCTTTGCAAAGTGGCGTCCGTATATGGACGTCACTTTGTTTTCTCCTAATAATTTGGTCCACAGTAGAAATTAACGCACTTTTTGCCTTCCAGTCTAATCTGTGCGATCTGTACATTGACCTATTCTTTTATCATCCATCTTATTCTATTCAGTGCTGAGTTATATTAGATTATTTTAAGGATCACTGGACTCCAAATTGTTAGGAATATGAAAGTGAAATATACAAACTTAGTTCAGCCTTTTGCCATTTTAGCGCTAGTGTCATGTATATCTTATATACATGTTTCTTTCATTTATAAACCTACTGGCATCCGAAATGTGGCAACACTGTTAAAACAGTTTTAATATTTCTTTCCGTCTATGGAATAAACTTAGAGCCAAACGAAGTATTAGCATCATAATAGCTATGTAAACATATTTTTATTATATACGTCTTTTTGACGTCCATATAGAAGTATCGTTATTTGCATCAATTTGGCTTCCAAGATTTTACTGATTACAAAATTTAAATAAATTAATTTAGACATATCCTGTAACTGACTGTTACAATATTTTTCATTTTTTTTTTAATATTTTCGTATTTATTTTGAATAAATCTAACAATTGGTAAGAATTTAAAATGTAAAGCATAATTATAAGAAAATAATTTTAGTTAAGGTTTGAATTAATTAAAATGAAACAACTTGTATATATTATTTGAAAACATTAATTTATTTTGTTAAATTTACTGAATTTCTCCTTAACCCACCCCTACTCACCCCCACCAGGTCAGAATAATTGAAATAAGTTAATTCTTTAATATTTTATTGTCATATTGTTTTATTGCAAATCGCGATAGTAATACATGGCTTTATTGACTTTTGGCAATAATATTATAATAAGTATTGTAATTAATGGGTATTATAACAAGTATTATAATAGGTATTATAATAAGTATTATAATAAGGTTACACATAATATGCAATATTCAACTATTTGCCAAAAAATATCAATTATTAGAGTAACGATTATTTAAATACATTTCCATATAGAGCTTGTTTAGTCCTAAAAATTTTAAGTTGATATCGTTTTTCGTTTTTAATTTTGTGATTTTTTAATTTTAACCCTCCTTATTCTCCTCTTTTTAATCAGATTTTTTAAAAATCAATAGGCTTCGTCCCCTTAGAGAGCTTAATTTTTCCAAGTTGGTATCGTTTTTCATTTTTGATTTTTTTTTTTTTTTTAATTTCAACTCCCCTTAACCACCCATTTTTATTCTGATTTTTCAAAATCAATAGACTTCGTCCTCTGATAAAGCTTGATTTTCCTGAAAATTTCAAATTAAAATTGTTTTTAGTTTTTGATTTGTTTTATTTTTTTAAGTTTCAACTCCCTCTTAAATCCCCAATTTTAATCAATTTTTTTTTAAATCAATAGGCTTCGTTCTCTGATAAACCTTGATTTTCCCGAAAATTTCAAATTAATATTGTTTTTTTTTTATTTGTTTTATTTTTTAGTCTCAACCCGGCTTAAACCCGCAATTTTAATTCAGGTTTTTTAAAATCAAAAGGCTTCGTGCCCTTATAGAATTTGATTTTTCCTAAAAATTTCAAGTTGATATCGTTTTTCATTTTTCAATTTTAATTTACGATTTTTTTATTTTAACTACCTTTAACCCCCATTTTTATATATAGATCTTGATTTTTCTGAAAATTGCAAGTTTATATTGTTTTTCGTTTTTGATTTGATTTTTTTTAAGTTTCAATCCCCTTTAAACCCCAATTTTAAAATAATTTTATTCAAAATCAATAGGCTTCGGCTTCTAAAAGAGCTTGATTTTTCTTATAAATTTCAAGTGGCTATTGGTTTTTGATTTTTGATTTTTTTTTAAGTTTCCCAATTTTCCAATGTTAGCGATTTGCTCAAGTGGTCCGTTTTAAAGTCATAAAAGAACAAAAAGCCTTAAAATAATAAATTTTACCTTTAAAAACAAAAGTTTTGTATTATATATAATTATTCTCTATATAGAACCTATAAATTTGATACTTATACTTATCACACGTGTTAGAAACTTTGCGCTTAAAAATGATTTACACGACAAAGCAAATTGGTAAATTAATACATTCATTTATAGCTAGTTAAAGTGTAAAACTTTTGTTAATAAATTTAGAATGATAATAACAACAGTAATATATTTATTTTGTTTAAAACCGGTACTCATGCTATTTCAAACAAAAATGCCACCTATTTTTCTTGCCTAAGCAAAAGAGGTGAAATTTTCTACCATCGACAGTTAAATGCCGACTTGCTACAGTGAAGAAGGAGATGAGTCGTAGCAAAAGTATTGTATGTAAGTGAGTGCCAGGAGTTTACTCATATCCAACAATTCCAAGTAACGGTTTACTATAAAACTCCAAACAGCTAAACAAAATTCATCTTCATGATGACTCAAGCGGCTATGCTATAAATGAGTATCTCTTGCTAATAAATCGTTACCTTATCTATAATACCTATTGCCTAACCTAATTAAGTAATATTAACAGACACTTTGGTTGGGGATAAATAATGAAAAAATTACAATTAAATACCCAAATTTAATAATAATATTTATGCGTTAAGCGTCCACCTCGGTTACACATAATATGCAATATTCAACAACTATTTGCCAAGCAATGTCAATTATTAGAGTAACGATTATTTAAATACATTCCCATATAGAGCTTGTTTAGTCCTAAAAATTTTAAGTTGATATTGTTTTTCGTTTTTAATTTTCGGATTTTTTTAATTTCAACCTCCTTAACCCCCCTCTTTTGATTCAGATTTTTTTAAAAATCAATAGGCTTCGTCCCCTTATAGAGCTTAATTTTTCCAAAAAAAATTAAATTGATATCGTTTTTCGTTTTTCATTTTTCATTTTCTTTTTTTAATTTTAACTTCCTTAACCATCCTGTTTTATTCAGATTTTTTTAAAATCAATACATTTCGTCCCCCTATAGATTTTGATTTTTAGTGAAAATTTCAAGTTTATATTGTTTTTTGTTTTTGATTTGATTTTGTTTTTGTTTTAACTCCCTCTTAAACTCCCATTTTTAATCAGTTTTTTCAAAATCAATAAAGCTGATAGAGCTTGATTTTCCTGAAAATTTCAAATTAATATTGATTTTAGTTTTTGATTTGTTTTATTTTTTAAGTATCAATCCCCCTTAAACCCTTCATTTTTATTCAGATTTTTTTCAAAATCACAAGGCTTCGGCCCCTTATAGAACTTGATTTTTCCTAAAAATTTTAAGTTGATATCGTTTTTCATTTTTCAATTTTGATTTACGATATTTTTATTTCAACTACCTTTAACCCCCATTTTTATTATAGGCTTCGTCCGCCTATAGATCTTGTTTCAATCCCCCCTTAAACCCCCAATTTTAAAACAATTTTTTTCATAAGTCTTGTAACAAAACTTGATTTTTCCTAGAAATTTCAAGTGGATATTGATTTTAGTTTTTGATTTATGATTTTTTTTAAGTTTTCCAATTCTTACCAGATTTTTTTCAAAATCTATAGACTTTGCCCTCTGATTCGGCTTGATTTTTCTTGAAAATTTCAGGTTGAACTACTAACATTCCTACCTCCACTTTGGAGACTTCAAAATGATTGTAAATGTGATGTGTTTCCCAAATATATTATGTGGACGTTAGAATAACCGGTAAAAAAAAAATTAGCGAGACGCCGAAATGGTAGAAAATTTTAAATATATTTTTTATACGCTTCATGATGGAGATGCCGAAATGATTATAAAGGTAAAGAGTTTCTTATATTTATATATGTGGACGTTAAAATAATCGGTTTTAAAAGGAAATTAGTGAGACGTCATAATGATTGCAAAATTTAAATATATTGTATATACACTGCATGATGGAGACGCCAAAATGATTATAAGGTGAAGTGTTTCTCATATATGTATATGTGGACGTTAGAATGTCTTAAAAGAAAACTAGCGAGACGCCGAAATGATTGAACATTTTAAATATATTTTATATACACTGCATGATGGAGACGCCAAAATGAATATTAAGGTAAAGTGTTTCTTACATTTGCATATGTGGACGTTAAAATGATCGGTATTATAAGGAAACTAACGAGACGTCGTAATGATTAAAAAATTTAAATATTCTTTATATATGTCGCATGATAGATGTCAAAATGATTATAAAAGTAAAATGTTTTTCATATACGTTGACGCTAGAATGATCGGTTTTTAAAAATAACTAAGAGGACGCCATAGTGATTTATATATTTAAACATATTATGTTATATACATTAGGTACAGGACGTTAAAAGGATGATATTATTAAAAGCTTTCAGATATACTAATGATAATATATAATTATGTTAAACGTTGGGGTTTTAAATAATGGTTGATGCACCGTCTGTGTATATCTACAATATGTGACGTTACAATGATTGGATTTTCTTTTAAGAAACTTGGCAACGTTGCTGGTAGTCGCAATGATTTCACTTTTAATTTTTTTTTGTACGGACGCCAAAATGCGTTTTAGTGTAAAAGTCGCGTATATAGTAAACTTTACACTACTAAAAATCTGAGATGAGTTTCATGTATTAAAAAATGCGCCGGATTTATATACACTGCTAAATATTTAAAAATTGGTTTCTTTCTAGTGGACGCCAAATTAAGGTGTTATGAAAGGATGCCGAAATGATAGTGGGATGTATATATATATATATATATATATATATATATATATATATATATATATATATATATACAGCTTGCGTCTATTTTGCTTCCTTTCATAAAACACACTTATTGCTCTTGCAGAAAATACCTGTTTTGCGCATTTTTTAAAGCGTATATTGAATCTGTTAAAAAAATTATACATGGAACCTAATTTTGAGTGTGAAATCTTAAAAAATAAATATACGTTTTTTTACATTATGAAGCTATATTGCATCCTTTCAATTCGCTAACTATTTTGATTCCAGGAAGTATATAATATTACATTTTGCAACCATATTACTTCCGTATATTTATAAACACGACTTTACTGCATCCTGCAATGTTGTCAAGTCTCCCTAAAGAAACAATAACTCATGCCAAAATTTGTTAAATAGTAAAATAAGGAAATGTTTAAAAAAATTTAAGGAAACAAGATTGAAATAATGTTTCTATAAGTTTGGTGTGGTATCTTATTTAATTTAGCATTTTAGTCGCATCAAACAAATCATAATTTCCAGTTTATTACCTATTGTACCTCGTTTTAGTGAATTTATTATCGTTTTCTTTTACAGAGTATTTATTTTAATTATTAACTTTTATTAGTTTTAATTTTAGTCATTACAAATGTTTATGT